ATGAGACAACCGAAATACATGCACACATGCACGCAAACCGAGAACCAAACCTAAGGCATTGAATGCCACTCTACCAAAACATGGCAAGGATGAAGCATGGCATTCGAACATGTAATTTTCAGTACTGAAACATAATGCTAAATGGTCCCGAAACATGGAAATATGGCATCCGATGCATGGAATAAGCCCCGAAACTCAAAACTAGTCCAATATATTGAACCACAAGTATACCAAGCAAGCATTATTTGATCATGAAGTCTAAAGACAGAGCCAAGGCAGTCCCCAAACATGCACATTTCCAGTTTAAAGCATGGCCAAAAGATGCTAACATGATGGACTAAAATGGCATGCAACATTAGCTAGCAAGCATGGTTTACATGACATGTATATGAAGCAAATGAGAACTTATCAAACCATCCAAAAACAGTGAATAAAACATGCCAAAATATGCCCAAATAATCACTGAAATGCAGCCAATGCATACAAAAATGAGGGGCTTCTTTGGAAGGCCATTCAAGGGGTTATTAAGCACATATAAGATAGACACTTATCATGACCAAACCAACTCTGGAAATGAGTTATAACAGCCCTAAAACTCACAAAATTGACCCTGAAATCAGTCAAGGAAGCATACGAAGAAAGGCCCCCTCAAGAGGTCTTGAATGGAATTGTTCTACACATGCATTGTAGGTATAAAATATGATCAAAAGGGTGGGCCCTGGAAAGACCTAAGGCAGACCCTAAAACCCACAAAATTGGTCCCAAATAGTGACTTCAATGCATGCAAAATAGAGCTACTTTGGAAGGCCCAAAAGACCCCCAAACAAGACAAGGAAAGAGGGGGTCACCTCCCTCTAATTTTGGCCTTCAAAAATACATCAAAGCCACTGAAAATCCACTGGATTTCAGTGGCTAAGAGGCCAAACCATGGCCAATGCAAGTGCTCTAATGCATAGCCTTAATCATGAAGAGATGAAGCATGCATAGGGGGAAGATGACTCCAAATAGAAATGGTACCTTAACAAAACTTGAAGAGGATGTCAAAACAAGACTTTTTCCAGTTTATAGGAAATCTCGAAAATGCTCACAAGTAAGGATAAAATAGGATGCAAAAATAGCCCTAAAAGAGAGATAGAGGATAAGGGGAAGTAAATGACCTCAAACAGTAAAGTGCCCTTAAACAAAGTTGAAGAGGGGATCAAAATAAGACACTTTACAGTTTGGGTCGAAGCCCAGAAATTCTTTCAAATAAGGCTAACCAAACATGCAAAAAAACGCAAGTTTAAGGGAAATGGACACTTACCCTTGAAGAGCCGACCTCCAGTAGCTTTTGGACCAAGTTAGTGAGCTTTCAACCTCTGAAAATGACTTCTAAGGTGCTGGAATAGATGATGGGGGTGTGGTGCCAAGGGTTGTAGTGCAAATGGACCAAGAAAGTTAGGGTTTTGGAGCTTTGAGTAGTGACAATGGAGGAGGGAGGTGATAAGCCTTAAGCAATTTTTGTTCCACCAGCTGATATGAAGCCAAGCCTCTCCTTTATAGAGGAGAGTCTCCAAAATATCCAAAAAGGGCCCAAGTATCCTCCATACATGTGCACCAAATGGCTTCCAACTGGCACAGCTGGATTACACTCAGAAAAAGAAAAAGCAAAAAGCAGGCCGGTCAGTTCAAGTGGCCGGCCGGCCACCCCCCCTAGTCGGCCGACCAGGGGTCAAAAGGGTCAACAAAATTGATGGTCGGCCTACCCAGAAAGGTGGCCTCCCAGATGAGTAGAATACAGCTGTGTGGAGAAAAATCAGAAAAAGTGACCCAAGAGAGAAAAAAGCTAGCTTTTAAGCAAGGTTCAAAAGGGCCAAGATGAATTTCTGGCCGGCCTATCCATGTTGGTGGCCTCCCAGATGAGCACAACACAATAGTGGTATGAAAAACCAGAAAATGTGGCTCAAAAGTGAGAAAAACCAGCTTTCTGTCAGAAAAATCGGTTTTGGAGAGAGAAAATGAGAAAATTGGGCCAGCCACCATCCTACCACCTCCCTAGCAATGAAAATAGGGTCCCTACCAAAAATGGACCAAAACGGATGCAAAACGAAGGTTCGGGGGCCAAAACGCGCGGTTCGAGGCCCCAAAAACAAGCTGTTAGGCACCGGAAGTGGCGTATGACCACGAAGGTGGTCTCCAGGGCCACAGTGTTCCCCTAAAGGGAGGGAATAAGGTGGGTGCCAAAAACCAAAGCAATCGGAGGTAGTTAAGCGGTCCCAAACCGAGGCACACAGCCGGTGGCTCCAAAAATCGGAAACCAGGCTCCAAACGGGAAAAATGGCCTACGACGACGAAACGTAGCCTACGGCCACTGAGAGATGGTCTACGAGACCTCTCCCTCCCTTCGGGAAGAGAAAATGAAGAAAATATGACCCGGTTCGCAAACCGAGGCAAGGCACAAAAGAGCCCCGAAGTCCGGAGGCAAGGCTCGTAGCCGAAACTCTGAAACCTCAGAACGAGCACAATATGCAACATCACCGAGCGCTCAACTGGTGACGTCTGAGTCTTAAGGTCGGTCAAAAATGGGGTGTCTACACTGGAACACTTAAAACATCATGAGCCATCCTTGACAAAGTAGGAAATTTTGCTTTATTGACTTTCCACCAATGTAGAATATTGAAAATCTCATTACTTGGAAACACCAACTCCTCCAAGTATTGCTCCACCTCTGATTTTTGATAGGCGTGAATGTTAGAAGCACGTTCCTGGGCATACCACGTATGAAAAGCAGCCAAACTTTCTTGTTTTCAAGAACCGACAAGCAATTGACTACCACTTGAGCTACTATTTTCATAAACAAGTGCAATGGAACTCATAGAATCAGAAGAATCACTCCTATACTCATAAAAAAATATCAACAAAACCATTACGGACCCTCTGAATATGCTTATTAGCATCAACACCATAAATAAGCCCAAAGTAGTATGAAAAAATCTAAAAATCCCCTAGATATTGATTTGTGATTATGTATCAATTTTAATGAGTAAATAGCAATGCCAACCAAACAATCAAAGACAAATCAACACAATGATTTAACGTGGAAAAACCACAATTAGAGCTCCTCCAATTGTGATAAAAAAAACCACGGGCAAAAGCTATAAAACAATCCACTAAGAAGACATAAAGGAATTACACAAGTGTGCTCTAAATTACCTAGCGAATCCACGTTTGAATCGAACCGACCCCTATATGCCTCTTCCAGCCCTGTCTTCACCTCAAAATTGTCTTGCCCAACGTTGAATCCACAACACCGATGTCGAATCACGACGATGAGCCACTCTGGAATCCACCAAAGCTTCACACCCAAATTCCACGAAATCCACCAAAGAACGACACTCTCTTTTGTATTGAACAAAACAAATAATCCTTTGATGTATACTTTTCAAACCAGATTTAAACTCAAACAAACATCAAAGAAACTAGCAAAGAAGCTCCAAATATAAACCCTAATATCTAAGAAGAAGGTCTAGAAACCATTACCCTAAAAACAGATGAAACCACATATTTATAGAAAACTAATCCGCGATCTCCGCTCGAACGCTAGAAAGTTCGCTTAAGCGTAAAATCCCAACTTCCAGTACTTTGCAGATAGTTCAAACTTCTAGAAGCAAAAATTCTCCGCTCGAGTGCACAAAGGGCCGCTCGAGCGGACAAGCAACTTCGACTGCAATTTTGCTTCTGGTTTCGGGGCACTACCCCATGACCCCACCTGGGTGCTACCTCGGACCCACCAAGGGGCGCTGTCCCCTGGACCCTCACGAGCTAATCGGTCAACTCGATCCCCAACATAGTCAGCAAAGTGGCAAACATGAAAGAATAAACTTTTGAAACATCTCTGCGAGGTGCAATTTGGGTTGGATTCGCATCTAAAACTCATAGCCTCACTGAAATAAAAGATCGAATACAATTACAACTTAAAGGCATTTTGTCAAACGGGGTTGCTAAGAATAAAAACCTAGCATAATATTCCACCAAGTCCATTTTAAATCTCGGATCGAGAACCACTGCAATTGCTAACACCAAAGAACATTCTTCCCAATATTTTTCAAATTTCACTCTCATTGGACCGCCCATCAATCTAATGCAATCATACTCACTTTGCTCCCATTTTTTCATTTCGAGTTGAATAAGACAAATATCGAGAAAAAACACATTTGAAGTAGGAAAAGTGGTACCACTAAAGTGAGATGTAGCATCAAAAAAAACCTTCAAGCACCAACAAATCATATTTGCTACATTCCACTCATCCTCAGAAGGATTGTGCTTATATTGTTTGTCAATTTGCCCTAAGCGTTGGAATACACTTTTCAAACCTAATGCAGCTTCAAGCATTGAATAAGTGGAGTTCCATCAAGTAAGAACATCCATGGGGACTTTCTTTTTATGATGTAACTTAACATGATTCACAGCAACATCAATTTATTTTTTTTTTCACATAAGGAGACCTCCCTAAATATCTCACACTTTCTCAGATTTTTGAAAGAAGGCTCCCAATCACCTTCAAACCATCCTGAACAACTAAATTCAATATGTGCGCGCTACAACGCACATGAAACAATTGTCCACCCAAATGTAGTAATCTTTGGTCATGTAGCCATTGCTTTAAGAGTCTCACCATGACATCATTACGCGTTGCATTATCGACTACCATTGAAAACAACTTCTTATCTATATTCCACTCCAAAATTAGATCTTTGATAAAGCTAAACAAATGGTCTCCATCATGTGGGTATCAATGCGTCTATAAGCAAGGATTTTCTTCTTTAACTCCCAATCATTAGTCACATAATGGGCAGTCAAACATGTATGGGCAAAATTCTAATGGTCTGAAGTTCATATATCAGTTGTTAAGGTGATCTTAGAAGAGGGTTCATCCAAAAATTGATATAACTTAGCCTTTTCTATTTCATAAACATCAAGGACATCCGCCCTAATAGTGTTACGAGAACCAAGTTTGAACATTTGTTGAAGATTGTTGTAAAATATTTCAAAAAATTCATACTCAGCCATGTTAAAAGGATAATTATTCTTGATTACCATCCTAGAAAAATCCATACGACTTCTCTCTTGATCAAATTTAAAAGTTGCAGCCTTAGGAGTAGATTTAGAAGTAGCCTTACTAGCATTCCTAAGGGCATTTGGTCTTTTAAGTATTGGACATGTCTTCGACAAATGATTTTTTAAATGACTAGTCCCTTTCCTACTCTTTCCAAAAAAATTCCCTATTGCAATGCTTACATCTAGCTATGTCATTTCTATTAGGTCCTTTAAATTTGACAAAGTCATTCCATGCCTTTGAAGTCAATTTTCAAATCTTCTTTGTGGGTCCTTGAGATACATCGTCATCCAACTCGGCATCATCAGCAATAATAGGTTCGCTATAATCCAAAGACATCTTTGCCTCAACAACTCAAATTTGCACTGCACAAGAAATCAAGCATAAATAACTGATGCAGGATCTTTCAAATTAGCACCAAAATAGAACCAAAATTGTACAGATTTAAGACTGAAGTTATGTACAGATTCAGCTAACTAGATGTTTACACAGATACAACAGAGAATATAAGAGAGTGATTGGAAAGAATACAAAGAAAACTAGGTACACTCGCTAAATTAACAAACACTAACACATAAAATTGAGCCTCATTTTATCCTGTGCATATTGTTAGCAAACAAACAAACCACTCATTTGCTAAAAAATATTCTAATAACTTCAGTCCTAAAAAATATTTTAATGAATATCCATATATACATATATTCTAATAATTTTGTATGGCACCACTTATCTGCTATACAGGGGCAATTCAAAATTGGAAATAGATATGTTCAATGTGTTGCAACAACTAAACATATCAATGAATGGTTGAGATCAAGGACATCTTGATTGAAGAAACCTAATGAAGCCATACAGCATCTTGAAAATGATCTTATTTCATCTACAACTGGAGGAAACAGAGGAAGTAAAAGGTGTTACATTCTAGCTGATAGAAGATTACACCCTTGTCAGCCTTCAGACTTAGTCGTTTAAGCCATTAATTGAAAGTTATACAATCATACATTACACTGAAATTTTGTTGTCAAAACTGGCATTCTTAATTTTCGGATATAAAATGAACTAAGGTGCCTGTCAACCAGAGGAGAGGAGGGAAGTGAAAGAATGAACAAGCCACCAAGGCTGCATAGCTTAATTTTCAAATTCCAAAGTACCCATCAAATAACAAATATATAGAGTCCCAAAATATCCAAGAAAATGTTTCATAATTGATTTTCCATTCAAACAAACAACCCAGACCTCTTATATAAAGGAGAAACACAAGCACAAGCGCAAGCACAAATGGAGCATAGCCATAAACCCTCAAAATAACAATTCGAAATAGATACACTAGATCCACTCTAAGAACATCAATCATCAAAAAACTAGAGGAACCTAAGCCCAAGCTTAGAAATAAAAAACAGAACAAAAATCAAAGCCAAAAATTCAAAGAAAGCTTAGAAATTCAATTACCTGAAGTAGTTTGATTTAAAGCTCTCCTGATCTGAGCTTGTTTCGTCGAAGTCGGAGAAAAAGACGATGAAAAAGATTTGATACTAACCAGAGAGCTCACCGAAGAATACCTAGATCAGAAACAATAAAGAGTTCGATTTGGCTAAGTTCATCGTCATCAATCGGAGCAGGAAGACACGATGAAAGAGAGACTTGATTATGAGAGATCTGATTTCAAACCTAATGCACTTTTCAGATCTAAGTATTCTTTGATGAGAGTTGATGAAAGAGATGATGAGAGAGATATTTGATTCTGAGATTGAGAAATCTGATATCGTTTTTGGGAATTCAATGTAATCGGATTGGCAAACAACTGGACCGGATCGGATTTATCCGAATTCAACCTGTTTTAAATCAGGCTATGCAGATACGGATTAAACAGATATTTGGATTTAGATTTGTATAAATGAACTGGGTTAATCGGATCAAATTCAAATCGGATTCGGGTTATACCCGATCCGTTGACAGGCCTGATTGGAACAATACAATTTTTTTTTTTTTTTTTTTTTTTGCAATTGCCAATCGCCATAGTTGCCACCTGTTATTTGGAAAAAATATATATATTTGTTTTTGATATTTTTTAAATATACAAATTATTTTTTTGCACTAAAATGACAAATTATTTTTTAAAATTGAATTTTAAAAGGAGTTTGGTTATAAGTTTTGAATATAATTTTCTCATTTCATATGTCACATCAAAAATTCAAAACTCTTTTCAAAACTCATAACCAAACAAATTTTCTTTTTTCAAATCATAATTCCAAAACTCACAAACTCAAAATACAACTCTATTCTCAAATCATAATTCTAAAACTATACCAAACACTACCTTTGATTCTCATTCCTTTCATTCTAGAGGCCATCAACACTTTTTTCATGCACGTTTCTGTGATCGTCCAGTGTTGCGAGAACGAAATGTTAATCCCAACACATTTAATGATCTTTCCATTAAAAATTGGTTTGATTGTTTGGGTGATGGTATTGTGAATAAGAGTTAAGTTAGAGAATTTTATTGCAACATATATTTTGTTGCCCCAGATTTATCTTCTTTTCGCAGTTATGTTCAGGGTAAAAGATTTGAGTTTAATCTTGATTTTGTTGCTAATATTCTTCGTCTCGAACATCCTCTTCTGTGTGTCTATCCCCAAGATAGGCGTGATGAGTCGGTGCCAATTAATTTTAATGTCATTGCGTCTACTTTGTTAGGTGCTTTTTACAATTGGTTTTTCGGTGTTTCTATCCCTTACTATTCTCTCATTGCACCTTATTGGATTTTGAACCTCATTGTCTCATACAATGTCACTCTTACTTCCCATTTTTCTAATGTGTCACATGACCAAGGGTACTTTCTACATGCCATTAGCCAAAATTTGTCCATTGATGTTCCCTTGGTTGTCTTTTGTCACATGATAGTCGCGTTTAATGGAAAGAAATCGCTTGGTTTTCCATATGCATCACTTCTCACCAAATTTCTCTCTTCTTAAGAAGTTTTCATCGACAATGTTGATGATATGGTTGAGCTTGATAAACCTATCTCCAAACTTACTGTTAATCTGAGTAATGCTCAAGTTGGGGGGAGAGCTGGAAAAGCTCTAAGTGAGCATGGTAATCGTGGTTAATGAGGGCGACATGGTGGTGAAGAAGCAATTGAGGGGAAGAATGCAAATTTTCAGACCATTCAAGATCAAATTTTTCAGATGTAATAACTTCACAACTAGCATTTCTGGAGGAAATGCAAGGATAGATAGATCAGCATGATGCACTGCTTAGTCAGTTTGATTCCCGATTTGACTGCATTGATCAATCCACTGCACATCTTGCTTAATAGTTTCAGCAGTTTGTTACTTTGTTTCATCCTCTACCTCCATCTTGATTTTTATTTTTTATGTCTCATGGATTAGATATTCTTTTCTTGTGTACTTTTGTTGGGGAATTTTCAAAATGATTTTTTAAATTTATAGTTTATTTTTGGGTGTTTTCAAAACCTTCCATGTTTTTCATTGGAAAACATGAAATAAGCTTGGGGCTTTGTCCCACATTGGAGAGAGAGGAAAACATGGAGCACTTAATAAAGTGCTACATGGAATATTCCTTTGAATATGGAATTGTGAGATGAAAGCTAGTGTGCATGCGCCCACACCATAAGGATGGTGTTTCACACCACACGCACACGCACACGCGCGCATAGCGTGGGCAGTGGGCTATATGGCATTTGATGGCGCACTTAGCACAGACGTATCAGCGCCATGAGGGCACTTTCCTATTTGCATCAGACAGGCTGAAGCGATGACGTGGAACTAACATGGCATAGGTAACATGGAATACAATCAACTTCATGTGGCACTTTCCTATTTGCATCAGACAGGCTGAAGCGATGACGTGGAACTAACATGGCATAGGTAACATGGAATACAATCAACTTCATGTGGCAGTGACGTGGTGCCTGTTGGCGGTGAGTTAACCAACCGATCGAACGGTTGAATGTCCAATCTGGAGTGATTTGATCATAGCCTTTGATTAGAGATACACGCGATCATACGGATGAGATGACACCTGATCGTGATCAGGTGTGATTAGTCAAAGCATCTATTCGGTGTGAGAATGATTTGCACATTAGATCGTCGATCCAACAGTCAGATCTGATCGGATGCGATCAAGGAACATGATGATTCAATCAGGTGCATCAAGGCCTGTAAACAGGCTGTGAAATTAGCCATTTCATTCCATCCAAAAAAAAATTCAGAAGCATTCTTACAATTCTCCTTCTCTCCATCTTGATTTTGAGTTTCGATCAAGAGTTTCTTAGGCAAATTTCTGTTTTTCTTACTGGTACTCAAGTTTTGCAAATTTGATTATTAGTGTCTTGGTTTTCTTGATTATATCAAGAGTATTCTGATCTACTATCGTCAGTGCAGACGCCCGTAAACTAGATCTTTAGATTAGGCTTCATTGTATCCTAGAGGTAAATTTGCTGTAACCCCCTGCACACCTTTTGGTGGATGCAAATATTGTCTTTAGGAAAGTAACTAAGTAACGCGACTTGAAGCGTCATATTTCTGTTCTATATAAAAAAGTTCATCGCCAAGTTTTGAAGACCTGAATACCACCAATTGAAGAATTCAAGACGAATTGTTCCAACAATCTAAAGACAATATTTAGATATAGTGATGTTTGTTCAGAAAATGACTCAAGATTTCATAAAGCTTGACCATTTTGATAGAGGAAATTTCTAATGCTGGCAAAAGAAGATGCACTTTTTGCTCACCACTCTCAAAGTGGTCTATGTGCTAACTACCCCCTATTCGGTGGAGCAAAAAGACGAGACCATGAAGCAAACCCGTACTAGAACCAAATGGGAGAATGATAACTACATTTGCCGAGGACACATTCTGAATGCACTGTTAGACTTTTTTTTCTATGTGTATCAACATCTGGAAATGACAAAGTAACTATGGGACATTTTACAGTCAAAGTACCTCACCGAGGATGCCACCAGTAAGAAATTTCTTGTTAGTAATTTTATGCGTTTTACTATGTTTCATACAAAGCCCATTATGAAACAATTCCATGAGATCTAACATATTCTGAGTCAGTTTTGGCAAAAAGAATATGAACATGGATGAATCTATTATAGTTTCATCTATAATAAAGAAACTGCCATCTTCTTGGAAGGATTTTAAGAAAACTCTAAAATACAAAAAGGAAGATCTTACTTTAGAGGAATTGGCTCAACACCTTCGAGTTGAGCCAATTGGCTTCTTGAAGGTAAAGATAACCAATTGGCTTCGAGTTGAGTCAAGGCTTCTTGAAGGTAAAGATAACCAATTGGCTCAGACTTCCAAGATCCACATGGTGGATGATGACAAGAGGTTTAACAAAAAGAAGCGTAAGCATGAACCCCAACCCGAGAAAGATGCTAAGAAGCCAAAAGGAGTTTACTGGCACTATGGCAAGCCAGGGCACTTCAGAAATGAATGTCGATCATACAAGAAGAAGCCAGAAGCGTCAAATGCCAAGAACAAGTTCGTGGCTATTATATTCGAGGTGAACATGTTCGAAGATGCTGGTAACTGGTGGATTGACTTAGGAGCAACAAGGCATGTCTACAACGACAAGAGTCATTTCATTACTTATGAACAAGTGAATGATAGAACAGTTCTCTACATGGGCAACTCTTTAATAACTGCTATCAAAGGCAAAGAGACGGTCGATTTAGAGTTCACATCTGGAAAAGTCTTAAGTCTTAGTGATGTTTATCATGTACCTAATGTCAAGAAAAATCTTGTATTTGGAAGCATGCTTAATAAGCATGGTTTCAAGTTAGTGTTTGAGTCGGACAAATTTGTCCTATCTAAGGGTGAGATTTTTGTTAGGAAGGGCTACATGTATCAAGGAATGTTCAAACTTAACGTTATCAATAACACATCTGTTTCTACTTATATTGTCGATTCTCTTTCTTTATGACAAGCACGTTTAGGTCATGTTAATACTAGGAAAATGCATGATATGGTTAATTTAGATTTAATTCCTAAGTATGATATTGATATTTTTGAAAAATGTAAATTTTTTGTGCAATCTAAAATTACTCGCATTCAAGTTCCTAAAATAGATAAAATCACATCTCTTCTTGAATTTGTGCATAGTGATGTATGTGACATGCATAGTACCTCCACTAGAGGTGGTAAGAGATATTTTGTAACATTCATTGATGATTTTTCTAAGTACTGTAAATCTATCATCTGTATTCAAAAGATGAGGTGCTTGATAAATTCAAGATTTTTAAGACAGAAGTGGAAAATCAGTGTAATGTCAAAATAAAGAGACTTAGGTCTGATAGAGGTGGTGAATACCATTTTCCAGAATATTATGAAAATGTTGATATTATTCATGAGAAGCCTGCACCCTACACACCATAACAAAATGGAGTAGCTGAAAGAAAGAATAAGACATTAACAGAAATGATAAATGTTGGGCTTTCTTACTCCAGTTTAAGTTCTGGCTTTTGGAGTGAAGCCTTACTCACTACCTGTCACATGCTCAATATAATTCCTCTCAAGGAAAGAAATGTTACTCCTTATGAATTTTGGAAAAACAAGAATCCTAATCTAGGTTACTTGAAAACATAGGGCTGTAGAGCAATAGTCAGATTGCCAGAACCTAAAAGGAAGAAATTAGGTGAAAAAGGAATTGAATGCATATTCTTTGGCTATGCTATACATAGCAAAGCATATAGACTTCTGGTAGTAGAGCCCAATGGTTCAATGGAAACAAATACCCTCATTAAATC